CCTAAACCCTAAACCCTAAGGAGTTTCGGGTTCCGAGGCCTTCTGGAAACTCCTAACGAGCAGACCTGGTGCAATAGGCAGGTTCTCTGTGGTGCTTGTTGCTACACAGGGTAGGGTTTAGGGTTTAGGGTTTAGGGTTTAGGGTTGAGGGTTTAGGGTTTAGGGTTTAGGGTTCAGGGGACTCCGCAAGTCCTGAACCAGTATCAGCCGAAGGCATTATCCCCTACTTCTTGCACATCTTTGAGAAGCAGACGGTTGCAGGAAAGGTCTGCGCGCCTTCCGTCCAAATCTCGCAGCGCCAGACAGCACAGCGCAGATTTGGCGTCTGCTTGCTGGAGCCTCATGTGCTGATTATTTCAGTCGGTCACACCGTTGTCAGTTCAACACAAAGCCGCACATGCGAGTAAGCCTGACTCAATCCTCTTGTGCCACGTACTTCCAGTTGGGGGAAATATGACAATGCTCATCAAACTGTTCATGGCTCGTGCTGGAACCCTCAACCCTAAACCCTAAAAGCCCTATAAACTCTAAACCCTAAACCTTGAACCCTAAACCCTGGAAGCTTGATGCTGCAGCGGTCGAACTGGCCCTCCGAATCCAAAATTCCTGAAACCCAAATGCAACAAGGTGGGAATACTTAATGTAGGGGTTTAGGGTTTAGGGCGTCTAACAAATAGGATAGGGTTTCGGGGCATGTTATAGTATAGTGATAATAAGGAACCCTCAACTTAGTATATTTAGGCCCCTAGATGCCTTAATAATTAGAACAGGGAAACCAGAGCCCCGAATAACCCCAAACCCAACAGCCCCAAACCCGACACTCCAAATCTCATGACTTTTCCGCCTCAGGCCCTTAACCCTAGACCCCAAATTATGGGATCCTTAAGGGAGGGGGTTCTAAGAGGGGTATATACCCCAGTAATCCCCAATTCTCCCTAGTACTCCCTTAGGTTCCCTAAAGCTCCCTAAGACCCTCCCCCCTTGAGACACCCTCCCTTAAGGATCCAATAACCAAAAGCCCAAACTTTAAACACCCAAGTCCTGTATCCCTCAGGACCACAGAGAGAACAGAAGAGCTCACCCATGCCTTGGCAACCGGCCAGAAGCCGCTGAGGATAACCTTCGCACTTCGGTCGCTGAGGGTTCAGGATTTCAGGGTTAGGTTTTCGGGGTTTAGGGGTTCAGGGTTTAGGATTTTAGGGTTTAGGGTTTAGGGTCTAGGATTAGTTCAAGGTTTAGATCCGTGTTTTTAGGGTTAAGGGTTTAGGATTTCGGGGTTTAGGGTTTGCTTTGGTCAACTCCTTCCTGGTGCACTACACCCAGTCAAACCGTGGCAACCCGATCCCTGAACTAACCTCGATCAAACACCAACACCCTAAATAAGGACCATGCGATTTCGGGTTTCGGGTTTCGGGTTTCGACTCTTGGGGCTTCCGGGTTTAGGGTTTAGGGTTTAGGGTTTAGGGTTTAGGGTAGTTTAGGGCTGCGGGGTTGTGTTGTTGCCAGCCCACATTCTGAAAGCAGCATTTGCACAGAACCGCTGTGAAGTGTCCCTGCGAGTCAGCGCGACAGAAATACCAAGCATTGCCCTGCCACCTTCGGGGGGGGGGGGGCATGACAAAATCCTGTATCCTAAACCCTAAACCCTAAACCCTACACTCCTACACCCTAAACCCTACGAGACCGTTCACAAATAACTTGAACTGCCCGAGATCGGCCCGCAAACCAAGAACTTGGTAAGTACTTCTAGAGGTCAGGGATTCAGGGTTCAGGGTTTTACGGTTTAGGGTTTAGGTTTGAGGGCTTCAGGGTTTTAGGGTCTAGGGTTTGGGGTTTGGGTTTTAGGGATGGGAATAGCAGTCTGTATGAAGCAACTTACACGCCATAAAGCCTAAACAAGCCATATAATACGAAGCTTCAGCAACCTCACTTAGGTCATCCGTGCGCAGAGCCAAACCTCCAAGACCTCCCCTAAACCCTGAATCTTTCACGCTAAACCCTAAACCTGAAACCCGAAGAAATAAGCCCTAAAAGAAACCCGAATTAGGGATTAGGCCTCCTTAAATCCTGTGGCCCGGGCGGCGTAGGGCTCAGGGGTTTAGGGGCAAGCCATGACCCCAAAGCCTCAACCCCAACCCCCCGAACAACCCTGGTCTGGGTTTAGGGCTTAGGGTTTAGGGTTACCGAAACAACACCAAGCGACCCGTGATCCTTGCTACAAGCTCTTCCTCAACCTTGGATCTTTGTTCAAACCCGGAACCCAAAATCCTGAATCCCAAACTCAAATCCCTAACCCCACAAATCCCTAAACTCAAGCAAGCCCCCTAAACCCACTGTACCCTACACCCCCCAAGCCCCAAACCCTAGACCCTAAACCCATAAACCCGAAACTAACACCCCAAACCCTAGACCCTAAACCCCTAAACCCTATACTAAAACCCCAAACCCCAGAAAGCCATGGAAATAAAAGGTTAAACTTTCAGGTTACTATTTAGTCAAAAGAACCCAAAAAGTTTAAAAGTTGGGTATTGGGGAACAAAGAACCCAAAACCCTAGACCCTAAACCCCTAGACCCTATACTAAAACCCCAAACCCTAGACCCTAAACCCCTAAACCCTAAGATAAAACCCCCAACCCTAGACCCTAAACCCTATGTTAACAACCCCAAACCCCAGACCCTAAACCCTATACTAAAACCCCAAACTTTCAAAAACCCTAGACCCTAAACCCTAAACTAAAAACCCAAACCCCGGAAAGCCACGGAATGTAGAACGACCCTGAAACCCTAAAGTCTAAACCCTAACCCCTAAACCCTAAACAGGGGTGGAGCGGCCTGGCCAGGGAATCAGCCGGGCCTCGGGTAACGCGAAGGCCTTGAGTCGAGTTCGCCAGGTTTGGCTCAAGTTTAGGGTTTAGGGATTTAGGGCTTGGGCTCAAGTTTTAGGGTTTAGGGTTTAGGATTTAGGGTTTTAGTTTTGTTTTTAAGGGCCCTTTCGAGTACAGTATAGAATTCAAGTTTTAGGGTTTGGGGTTGAGGGTTTAGGATATAGTTTTTTTTTTTTTGGGGGGGGG